AACTCATTTTAGCTCCTAAATTAAAGTGCAAATTCACAACATGTGTACACAATGACTATCTATTTGAGATGGGTCAGTCTTTTTTAATTTTTTTATACGGTGTTAATCTTTTATTCCACTAGAATTTATTATGGGTCTTAGATTTAACGTTGGGCCAAGCCTAACTAAATATAACAATAATAGCTACCTCTATGAGCACCGCGCAATAAATTATACTTCTTGTTGCAATGCACATGTATATTGCTAGTAAGCCTAAGAGCTTCTCCAAGCGTCTTTCTTAAAATTATATTATGTATAAATAAATTATCATTTGGAGAACCATTTAAATTTAAATTGCTCTCTATATATTTCCATCCTCTAACAACTTTTCTATATTTTGTGTCATCTTTTGTATTTAGTTAGTGAAAAGTTTTGAATAGAGCATGATAAATTTAGAGATCTAGTTAAAAAAGTTGGAGGATATTTTTCACTAAATTTCTATTTCTACCTAATAATATAAAAATATTGTAACGGAAATATTCAGACACGGGCGTTCTGTCGCTCACGTCGGTTTGGACGCGGCTTCCACTCCGTCTCGCCCATCTCTCTATCTCTATGCTCCGTCTCGCCCTCCACATCTCCAGGTCTCTCTCGTGTCCGCTGGCAGCAGCTGAGCCCCACGCTGCCACCATTGCTTCCTTCCTCCAACCAAGGCGTCCATGCCATCTCCTCCCTCAGTTCGTGCAGTGCCTTCCCGGCCTCTTCCCCAACCCACCGTTGTTAGGATGTGTCACCGCCGCTTGCCCCTGTTGATGGTGGCTGGGCACAGGTGTGGGGTGCCTTAGGTCATCTCTAGTCGAGCCAAGGGGCACCCACGAGCATGGTCAGTGCTGGTGGTGCTCGCACGCCGCTGGCTCCCACCATGAGGGCCATAATCGATCGGCCTCATTCTCTTTCCCCTATGTTGCAAACATGTTTCAATTGTTGTAGATGTTTCAAGGGTATGTTTCAAGTGTGAAAGGTTCTTGTTTGGTTTTGGTAATTAAGTGACAACCTAGGTGGACTAATGTGTTTAAATATGAGATACACAGATAATTAGTCCACCGGTATACTTGTGTGAGCAACACATGCCATAGAGGTGAAATGGCTTGGATTTGTTGCAAGGCTCACACTTGTGATGAAGGAGCTCATTGCATATGAGACATGACATGGAGTCATGTGACTAAAGTGGAGAAGATCAAGACAAGATTTGGCTTGATGGACCGGTTGCAAGTGTGAAGGGTAAGTTGAGTGATGACTTGTGCCCTATTCGCTTGGTTTATAAGTCGTACTTTTTCAGCCAACGAACAATATTTTTCTCTCACAACAAATTAGCCAACAATACTTTCAGTCATGGCTTATCAGTCAAGCGAATAGGGCATTGGTGCCGATGGACCGAAGCAACGGTGAAAAGCAAGTGAGGTCAAGATCGATGAACCAATATAGTCATGTGATGATATGAAGTGGATCATATCATTTGTGATATGGTTGGTGCATGTGTTGCATCTACATTGGAGGAGATGGAATAGAATGCGCAAGGCAAATGTATTTTTGTAGGGCATTTCATTTCACCGGTCATAGGTGTGTAGAGAAGTTTATGACCGGGTTTAGGATAGATGGCCGTACTATCAAGAGGGGTAGACTTGTTTACATATCGGCCATCTAGTGCTACTCGAGTGATCTAACTTTGCATCATTGCTATGATCGAGTTGCGTGGTGAATTGAGTGACTAATCATTTGAAAAATGTTTGTGAAAATGCTAACACACATTCACATGGTGGTGTTGGCACATTTGCAAAGGAGAAAAAGTAGGAGTTGATTTGGATCAACTTGGTGAAGAAACGGTGGCAAGGAGAAGGTGTCTGGGGTGACCGGACTGTCGGTGCAGGACCCTAGGGGTACCTTGCGAGGAAGGGAGAAGATCTAGTCCGACTAGGATTTCTCACATGTAATTCTAGTAATATTGCTATCATGTAATCGTACTAGGACTCTTACATTGTAACCAACTAGGAGACTTACCTCCTGGGATATATAAAGGAGGGCAAGGCTCCCTAGATCGGTAAGAGGAACAAACCTCACGGTTTAAAACCAAAAGCTCAGGGCGCAATATTCTATTCACCTGAGACTAGACGTAGGATGCTATTTCGGTGGACCGAACCAGTATAAATTATTGTCTCTGCTTTCATCGTCGAGTTCTGCATACGCCAAAACCCACCAACCATCGTCCTGGGTAACCCCACGACGAGTTGCCGATCATCAAACACCAACACGGTTCTGTCCTCGGGAGGACCGGACGCGTCCGATGCTACACCCTAGAATCGACCTGCCTAGCTGAGATGACCGGACGCTAGCTTTGACGTGACCGGACTCTAGTCGACCGCGTCCGGTCAGGTGGCAGCAGAGGTGCCGCTGAGCCACGCGGTGATTGGACACTAGATAGGGGGGCGACCGGGCGCGCCCCTAGCACTGTTCCTCGGCCGGCATGGCGCGCAGTTGTGAGCGGACGCGTCCGATCATGTTTTGGCAGCTCTCTATTCATGACCGGACTCTGGTGAGTCACGTGTCCGGTCATGGGAGCGGCGCATCCGGTTTGTGTAGTCAGGCACGCGCGGACGAGTTAGCCGTTGGCAGCAATGACTTGGTCAAATGGTCGGGACACGTGACTGTACGCGTCCGATCAATTCAGCAGAATCCGGTCGATGCGCAGTGAATCCAATGAAGGGGTATAACGGCTCTATTTTCGTGAGGCTATATAACCAAGCATTGGCCGGTCTTGGGCTGGTTGCTGAGCACCCTCACGCCTTGGTGGCTTGTGTATGTGTGCTTGGGAGCCCTCTAACTCACATACGCTTGATAGTGATCATCCGATTGAGTGTGAGTATGATTCTAGTGCGATTGCATCGTGATGTTGTGTCGAGTGACACTAGCTGATCGAGTTGCAAGCCGGTAGTTCTTGTTACTCTTGAAGGTTACCACCTCCTAGATGGCTTGGTGGTGGTCTCCGCCAAGCACGCAAAGAATATTGTGCGGTGCCCGGAGAAGTGATTGTGAGGGGTATGGTGCTCACCCCGTGGGAGACGCGAAGAGCAACTCTAGCAGAGCGTGTCATTGAGCTATCCTCACTTCAGGTAGGTTCTTGTGGCGCCCAACGTGAGGGCTTGGCGTGGTGCCAATAAGCTCGTGAATTACCAAGTGTGCTGTCGACACAACGGGTCTAGCGTGTTGACAAACACGTGAACCTCGGGATAAAATCACCGTGTCATCCTTGTCTTTCCATTGGTTTGCATCCCCTTACAAAAGCTTGTATTTACTTTCATATACATTGTGTTTGTGTACTTGTTCTTGTAATTAGTTAGCTTGTGTAGCTTGCTAGTTACCTTCTTTTTTGTGTAGCATAGAAATAGCTCCTTTGTGTGGCTAATTTGGTTTGAATAATATTGTTAGTCACATTACTTAGTTTGTGTAGCTATGTAATTTACGCTCTCTAATTTGGCTTATGTAGCCTTGTTATTAAGCATTGCTAGTGAGTATAGGAGCTTTGTGCTTTTGCTTGCTAGATTGTGTAGGAGCTCTCTAGTTGCTTAAAGTACTGGTTGCATAGGTTTGTGTGACCTTGTAAGTTAGAATTATTTAGGTGAGCTCTAACTAGCCCGACACCTTAGTTGCCTAATTAAGACATTTGTAAGGTGCTTGAAAACTTAGATAGATGGTGTAGTCTTGACTAGACCGATAATTTTAATTCCGCATTTGTTTGATTAGCCGGCGCGATTATTTTTTAGAAAGTACTATTCACCCCTCTACTCCGCTATCTTGACCCTACAAAGTGTTTCATATAGATGTTGCAAAAGTAGATCGAGATATTGTATATGTTGCAATGGCTATACATGTATGTTGCAAGCGTCTGTTTCAAAGGTTTCGTATATTTTTCAGACATATATTGCAAGTATTTTTATCGGGATGTTGATTATGTTTCACACATATGTTTGCAAGTGTTTTTGTCAGGATGTTACATATGTTTTGCAATGACTTTTCAAGTGTTTTTAGGTATTTTTGCAAGTGTTTTAGATACATGTTTCAAGTGTTTCATCTTTTTTCAGACGTATGTTGCAAAAGTTTCATCTAAATTCTGGATGTTTGAAAAGTAGATCGGGTGTTATACATGTTGTAATGTGACTCACCTACCACAGCCATCTGCTGCAGCTGTTGAGGCGCCGTGCGTGCGTGTGGGAAGCGGAGGGATGGAGCGTTGCGCGGTTACGGGAGGTCCCTACCTGGCGCGGGCGTGCAGCAGCCACAGGCGTTGACATCTGAACGCAAGTACTGCTCATATTGTAAAGAATATAAAAAGATTTTTTGAGTTGGTCAAGACGAAAATCCATAGTTCCGGTCCGGGTTTACGAGAAAATCCAAAAACGGCGATCGCATGGGTAACGTGAGGATCCCTTCTACAAGGAAATAGTGGCGAAGGCCCAATCGCCCAAAGGCCAACTCGTGGAGCCACCTTACCGGTCCGGCCTCCTCTTCGGGATCTCCCCAGTTCGGCGGCTCGCCCAGTCACGCTTGCAGATTGACCAGCGCCGCCGTTCGCCGCCGACGCCCGTCGTCCATTCGCCGACTTGGATCCCCTCCATCCCCGCTCAGCCGCGGCCATACATCACGCTCAAGGCCGGCCTGACTTCTACTTTTCCGCTCCCCCCACCTGTTTGGACTCGCAGGTACGTACATGAAAGTTTCTTCCATCGATTCAGGTTCGGACGAATTTAGATTTCTATATATCTTTCGATTTATATAGTGTTTATTTACACGCTTGGGATCCGAATTGCAGTGGGACTATTAGGATCGGTGGCGATAGGGATCGATCGATCGATTGTGCTTCGAACACGAATTGCGCAGGTCTCCATCCAATCCAAGGACGATATAGCACGGAGCCACGGAGCCGAGGGGTTAGCCAAATAAACGGTGAATTGGCAAAAGGACGAAAGATGCCGAAGAAGCGGCCGGCCGATGAGCGCGACGGCGCCCGTGCCCGTGCCTCCAAGCTCCCCAGCCGCCAGCGGAACCACCACCTGTACCTCGTCCAGGATGACTGGGAGAAGGGATACAGCATCCACAAGTTCGACCTGTCGTCGGACTCCGACTCCGACTCCGACGGTGACCACTGCCCGGCGGCCAGCAGCCTGACAGAGCGGCGGCTGCCGCCGTCGGTGTTCCGGCTGGAGGCTCTGCACGCGCACTCCGGCCTGTTCGCGGCCTTCGGCAACAAGATCGTCGCGACGCACCACACTCCTAGGCGCAGCGCCCTCATGTTCGACGTCCGCACGCGGGCTCTCACCTTCGGCCCTCGCCACAGGTACGAGCCCAACTACTACGGCAACGCCTACGCCCAGGTGGATGGCAACCTCTTCGTGCTCGACGTCGATGGCAACTTGGAGATGCTTGAACCACCTCCACCGACACTAAGCGACGAGCATGCAAAGTTGCAAACGTCGAGATTGTCTGGAAGTGGGAGAAGCTTCCAAAGCCACCGTTCTTCGACAACATCGTCTCCCACGCGGTGCATCCTGATGAGCGCACGATCTTCTTCAGCACCGAGAAGGAGACCGAGAAGCTCACCACCAAAGTGGCCACGTTATCCTGTGATACGGTGAGCTGCAAGTGGACTCGCCGTGGTGAGTGTGGCTGCTGCCGTTCAAAGGCCGTGGCTACTTTGACCCTGAGCTGGACGCCTGGATAGGGTTCTCTGGCGACCCGGACAACCTTGGCTACCTCTGCGCCTGTGAGATTGTACCTGCTGGTGATGAGTCTAATGGTGGGAAGCCATCGCTGTTGAAGCTTGGCATAGATAAGATGTTCTGCATCGACCCTGCCGAGAAGCACATCGGCGCCACCCTGGTGTATATGAGGGGAAGAAGCAAGTTCTGCCTCGTGGAGTGCCTGTCCATAGACGATCGCAGGGAGGACATCTGGGGGGAGTTCCTGTCGGAACGCCTTCGCTATTTTCTCCGGGTAACTACATTTTTCCAGAAGTACGACAAGAACGGTGATCTGCGTACTACTGCTGTCCATCATCAACGGATTCGATCCTATCGACTGCCCAAAATGGCAACTGGTTACTGTGATCACCTAGAAAAGCCTGTTGCGTTCTGGATGTAATAAGGCATGAGCACGACATGGATTATATATGATATTAGTTTCTGAATAGTTTGTCGATTGTTCAATTTATTACTTGTTGATGCGTTTCGTTTTCCATCTCTGTTGGGTGTTATTCAAGTCAAACATGTTTGAGCACAGAACACGTCCCAGCTTATCTACTATCTACTATTTTTCTGCGATTTCGTGAAGCCACCTCATCCAGAGTCCCACCACCACATGTCCCTTACGGAGCAGCCGAACCATCCCCTTCGATCCCCATTCACAGCTCTGCACCTGTATGCTTCCCTTCCTCCGCCAATTGAAACCACATCATGTCTCTTTGCTTCACCCCACATTAATTCTTCTATACGTTCACGTCTCGTGGTAAAACCACATCCGCTCCACTTGCCACAGGACCGGCCATGGGGCGGGCAAACGGGGCCGTCGCCCCGGGCCCTCCAATTCCAAGGGGCCCCACCCCAAGTATGTGCACTATAGGTATATCGTATATTCGTATATGTATATGGCCTATCAAACTGTCAAGGCCCACTGGCCCAGCAGCGAAGAGTAGCTGGCCTATCCAAGGGCCGAGGTCTAAGCAGTTCTGCATTTGGCATCCACGTGAAGCCATCCCCAGCCGGCAAGTCCGCGGGCACACACGGACACGCGAATCGTGACTCCTTAAACCTCGAGTCCTCTCGCGGCGGCGACGCAAGACGCGATCACGCGAGATGCGAGACGCAAGCTTCTGCATCTGCTCCGTATGAGTCTGATCCAGTCATCCAGTATGCCCCAAAACCCCAATGTCGGTGATTTAATTAGATTAAATATGTGCGTCCTTTGCTGGCAGGTGATGGAATTTGACCGCTGTAGCACTGAAGCTTGCTGATTCTTTGCTGGCTAGGTCGTGCTCGCTTGAAGGTTGGGCATTGGCAGTAGCTTGAAGGTAATTTAATATAATAAATTATTTTTATGAATATTGTTTTTCATATAAAATTAAGTGTTTATCAGCAACATTTTATATATACTTAGGGTCTGTTTGGCCTGCACCTGCACACGCCGAGCCGCAGCAGGGGTGGCGCCAAAAGTGCGGCATATGATTTCGTCGCCGGACTTTTAGCAAGATGAGACGTAGAAATTGAACTACGGAGCCATGGTCACGCGACAAGTACGGCCGCGAACCAGACATGCACCAAAACTGTGGCACGAAAGGTGTGGCGCAGTGCGCGGACGTGAACCAAACATACCCTTACATATAGTATTGTGACTAGCATGTACGTACAAGGTCTCCTGATTTTTTGTTTCGCCCAAGGCCCAAAAAAAAAAACTAAGGGCCGGCCCTGACTTGCCAGTAATGGCTCCACTTCTTCGGTAGTCACTAAGGCCAGCAATCTATATAGAAAACCAGGAGTCTTCAACAAGGCCGGCCAATAGTCAATTAATAATACAAGAAAACGATGAGTCGCCATCTACATGAGTCTATAAGGGCACTCCCAATGCAGTACTAGAGTAGTTTCTATAGGAATTAAATGACCCTGTCACGTAAGAAAAATCTGACGTGGCAACTGTTTTAACGAGGAAAGAGAAGAAAATGAGAAGAAAACGACGTCTACGCGAGCGTCGAGAGCCGAAGAAACGACGGGAACCACGTTGGGGACGACGGCTTCGTTTCTATCCACTCCGTCCAGATCCGGTGCACCCGACGCCGCGGAGGACGTGGTCGTCGTTGCGCTCGTACTCGTAGCCGTCGTCGTTGCGCTTGTACTCGTAACCGGTAGCAGGGCGGCGCACCGGGAACCCACAGACATCGCACGCGGTGAAGAAATCCACCTCCGCCGTAGTGCCCACGCCGTCGGAGACAATACCTGCCCGCCACCGCATCTCCTGGACTTGTGCACACGCACACAACAGATCGCAAGATTCAGTCCTTCTCTCCCAAGATCCAATCCCAATACGAAGGAAGACATCAAGGCCGTGCAGCAAGTCTTCCTTGCAGGATCCAAGAGTTCCTCACGAAGTACCTGAGTGCGCCACTCTAGTTGTCCTGGCTCGGCCGCGCCGACGAGCAACAAATCGTCGATAAAGTGGCAGCTCGGATCCCAACTTGGAAGGGCGAACTCCTGACGAACGCAGGGAGGGCAACTGTTACTCAGACAACACTATCTGCTATCCCAGTCCATGTCTCAATTTGCTGCAACCTGTCAGCGTGGGCTATTAGACAGATTGACAAGAGGCGACGAGCGTTTCTTTGAGCGGGTACAGAGTCTGTCTCGGGCGGACGGTGCAGGGTTGCCTAGCCCATAGTGTGCTCACCCAAAGAACATGGAGGGCTGGGGCTGCCCGACCTCTAGGTGCTTGGCTTTGCGCTTCGCCATATATGGGAGTGGCTGCGACGGACACAGCCTGATACGGCCTAGACACAGCTACCTTCAAAGCCGGAGCGCACCGTCGCCACAATTTCAGTGCTTCTGTTACTATCCAGGTTGGAGACGGCACCACCGCGCGCTACTGGATGGATTCCTGGCTTCCGGACGGCGCAATTTGTACTTTCACGCCAAATCTCTTCCGAACGGTCGGGTCTCGCCAGCGCAATCGCACAATCAGGGATGCGATGCTGAACCACCAATGGGCAAGGGATATCACCGGCGCGCATACTGCTCCGGTCCTCTGTGAATACATTCAACTGTGGGAAAAGCTCGAAGTGATCCAGCTAACACCACTGAACTCCGATCGTTTTATTTGGAAATGGACGGGGAGTGGAGCTTACACCGTCTCATCGGCGTTTAGGGCCTACTTCACGGGGTTGACAACCTTGTTTGGCACCAAGCAAGTTTTGAGATCGGCAGTGCCGCTCAAGGTCAAATTCTTCTTATGGCTTGCTCTTCATTGGGCGCCCGTGGACAGCTGAGCGTCGCAAGTGTCACGGCCTTCAGCAAGACGCGGTCTGTGTGCTCTGTGACCAGCAAGACGAGAACACCGATCACTTGTTGGCCTCCAGCGTGTTCAGTGAGGTATGGCACAGATTGCTGTCAAGGATGGGGATGCAACACTTGGTGCCGCTTGATGGTTCTGGTCTATCGGACTGGTGGCAGAACACAAGAACAACCATTCCGAAGCACTTCAGGCGTAGCTTCGACTCGCTTGTGCTGCTAGTCTCTTGAAAGGTCTGGAAGGAACGCAATCGGAGAACATTTGACAACAACACGAGGACGCCGTCTCAGCTGTACACGCTTATTCTGGAGGAGGTGGACGCCTTGATCGCCACTGCCTTTTGCTGCCTCGCGTCGCTGATCGTCTTAGCTAACTAGTGGCCGTTGTCTGCCTTTCTCTCTTTCATTAGTCGCACAGTTAGTGTCACGGGGTCGGAACCGTGGCGAGCATAGTTGTTCGAGTCGGTGTCAGAGTACGGGTCTTCGATGGCTCGGGTGGACTAAAAAACACAAGAATAACAGAGATGACACAACGGTTTATCCTGGTTCGGGCCAATCGATGCCCTACGTCTAGCAGCTCATGATCTTTATACTCAAGAGCACCTAAAATCGAGGGCCTACAACAGAGTGTAAAGAGAGATTTGGTAGGGGGTTAGCTCGGTGCTAATCCTAAGGTTCCCTCGCCGCTAGTGGAGCCTTCCCCTCATCGGAGAGGTGGAAGATGACGGGATGCGGTGGAGGAGCTCTCAGTGCCCCTCTCTGGGTTGCCTTGCTCTCGGTGTTGAGCAGGAGCGGATGGAATGGAATGTCTTGGATTCTCCTCTTCTTGTCTTCTTCTTCTCTTCTTCTCTTCCCTTCTCTTCTTCTCTTGTCCTCTAACTCTCCCCCTAAGTCCGATATTATCCCTTATATAACGAGATAGGTCGGGTATATGGCGGAGTCTAGAAGGGTCTTGCAGCGGCGCTCTATGGACCGTGGCACTGTCGTGGAGCCAAAGAAGCCTTGGGCGTTGTCCGCTGCTCTGTTCTGACACTCTGTGTGTCAGGCTATGTCGGCTTGAATCGGCCTCCCCTAGGTGGACCTTCTGGAGCCTTCTTGGTGGCGAAGGAGGTCAGCTCCAGGGACTGACGCGCGGGCCTAGGGGCCGCTCAGCGCTGGGGGCCGTGCGAAGCTTGTCTTCTTGTGTCACGCCCTGTGCGTGACCCTGTCACGAAAGGGGCCGGCAAGGCCACGCCCAAAGCGCGGCGTCTGGGAACCTTCGAGCCTCGATGGCTCGGGGCTTGTCTTATTGCGCCCGGGCCTTGGCTAGCATCATGAGCCAGGCAGGAGCCAAGGCCCGAGCTCGAGCGTGTTGTCGATTGGGAGCCTGAGGCCTAGGCGAGCCACCGAGCCCTGAGCGGGGGCTACGCCATGTCCAGGCTCGGTCAAGTTTCTTCGTCGGAGGGTGCACACGAGCATACCTAATGGGTATAGCCCCTGAGCCCCTGGGTGATCCTAGAGGGGTTAGTCGGGGGGTCCCTTTGGTCGGAAACCATTGATCCCGAGGCTTAACATACCCATATGTTAGGATCTAGTCAGGAGCCTCCGAGCCCTTCATGGCCTCACTTGGCTTGATTCATGATGGTGATGAAGGGCAGAATTCAATCTTCTGGTGATCGAACTAGCCATGGTGGGGACGGTTTCCGCTGATGGGAGTGTGTTGCCCTGCGTGGGGCCATTTCCCTTAATGTGATAGGGGCACTTGGCTATTGGGGCCAAGTAGTAGTGGTGCTGACCCCTTCTCTGCTCCTATGTCGCATAGGTCTGTGACCCAAGCGAGGGTTCGGTGAACTCGTCTGGAAGTTATTGACTTTAGGCCCGTGGCACCCTTCCTATTGGTCGGGACCTGCCGTGGGTCGGGTGATCGAGAGCGTCTGGGCTCTGGCTCGGGGCCACCTGATCACCCAGCGCGGCATGCCCTACTGGGGGCTTTGATAGTAGGCTCCGATCCTCTTGGGATGGCCTTCTTGGGCTGACCTTTTGCAGCCATAGGTCGGGGCGCGTGGAGCGCGTCGAGCTTGGGCAGGGGACCCTCGTTGGTTCCATCGCTCA